CCTACACAAGGGAATTACAATGCTTTAAAAGATGACTGATCCCTCATGTGACCACCAGTCCCCTTGGAAAACATACTTACTCCTGCTTCAGTAGAAAGACCATCTCCATATTAATCTCACTTATCTTTATAAGAAAAAAAAAGCATAAAACCGTTTCTTCAGCACAAAGCACTGAAGACTGTGAATATACTGCATGGAAGATACAGTGTTCCCCAGGGACAAAAGCACTTGTGTTACTAACAGGAAGAGCATCATAGTTTGCCCCAATACTGTAGTTTGACAGATACTGTGCAACGTAATCATGTTTCTATAAGGAAAATGTAATAATGGTTTGGTACTTTATTGAACAGAGGACTCAAACACATATTAAAAACCTCTGCAGTTTGGGATGGAAATGTCAGCACTACTGCAACATAAATTTTCCTGTATCAGTCCTTGCTAAATTGATCTGCTACTTAGCTCTTAACCATCTGAATATATGGAAATAACCAGGAGATATTTCCTTCCCTTTTTGCTAAAAAAAGTTAAGCTCTTCAAGGAAACTATTCGCCAGATACAACTAGGAAGTATGAAAACCTGGCTACAGCAGAAGAAACAGTACCACTTTCTAGTACATAATCGTATTGACTAGTGTTTACCAAATTCATTATTGCACCTCATGTTACATTGTGAAAGCTAAAAATGAAATAGTGACTATTCTTATCTCAAGGAATTCCTTTCGTATGAAATTTAAAAACAAGCAAACAAACAAAAAACAACCACCAAAGAAACCCCCACCAAATCTTTGCCACTGAAATCTGTTTTTCTTGTTAGGTTATATGTTCAGGTATTTAAATCTTTCACGTTTTCATTAATCATAGAAAAAAAATTATAAAGTGCCAACACTGTACATTTACAAATGTTCACATGGTTATATCACCAAAGAAATGCTATTTTGAAAGCATTAGAATCCGGGAGGTACAGAAGACAACATAGTGTCAAGACACATGTATACGCCTTAACCTTATTAATTCTCGCTCTTAGAAGTAGCATTACCGCAGTAACTTCAGGGGTCATGTGGCTATATAAACATATGGAGCTCCTGGTCTATCTTCAACAATGACAAGAACAATTCCAAATATCAAAAAGAATAGCTTAAAATAATTTTTCAGATCTTAATTTCAACCCTCACAATTAGCTCAATTTACAAAGCATTTTGTGCAATCTCAGGTGAACCATCACATAAAAAGCTCAGCATCTTTGAGTAACCTGCTTAAACAGAATACACACGTAAAATTAGTTTCCCATTGGCTTAGCCAGTCCACAGGGCCCCACTAAAAACAACAGTATAAAGGATACAAAAATATAATCATCCATGTATCGTTTCTTTAGATTCTCCACTATGGAATCCTCCGTGATTTTGGAAAGAAGGACCATATCATCCACTCCACTCTGCTTGACATTGTGGCTCTGCCAGTGATATCTGTAGTGTCCTTTGCTGCCCTGCAGGAAAGCACAATAAGCATCAAAAAGGTTACTGTGTTTCTGATTAGCTTTAAGTAACTGAAAACAATCTATTTAAATCCCAACTTCCAAAATATTTTTCTTTCATTGAATTCTATTCCTTGGCTTGCGCATTACATAAAAGCATACATAAATGATGTCAACCAACTTGCCTCTGAACTATTAAGGAATTGCACTGCCCTCAAAAATTAGAAGGTAATTTCACAGGGTTTGTGAATGTCTACACACAAAAGGGGTTTCAGATGGCAGACATTTCTAAATCCAGCAGAAAAAACCCAATTATTCCAAATGAGATGCAGTTACTGAAAGCTAAGGATGCAAAAATTACACTCCTACGGTGCAACTATTAGTATTGAGGATAATTACCACCTGAACTATTAAATTGGGTACAGTAGGTTCTGCATCCTTTACAGTCTTTTAAGCCAAACCTGGATAGATGCTGTTACTCAAATGAAAGCTGAGCGCCTGCTACAGTAAGAGTTCAGTGCCGTTCTGCAGATTATGCTACGCAGCTTGTCGGCTGCATGTCTTAACAGTCCCTTTTGATCTGTTAGTCACCACGCCTAACTGACATCTAAATAGATATTCTCTCCCCACACTTAGAGACTACTATTTCAGGAAGCTACTGAAAACTCATGACATTTCAAGCTGTACCAGTTGAAATCAAAATCTGCTTTTTCCCAGCTGATTTGAACAGTAGTTAGATTCTATGGATACACCCACCAATTTAAATCCAGTCTAGATCAATGCAATTAATTCAGCTATAAATTTGCTCTCCAGACCTAAACCTATTTTCTGTAGCCTGGCAGATAATGCTAATGGAGTTCTGCCATCTTGCCTTTCTATACTTTAATTTGTGTTTAAGCAACACTGAAATTAGCAATGCTGGAATTAACACACGAACATTAACACTGAAGCTATCAAGTATGCTGTCAAGGAAGACATGGCCAACAAAAAGGCAATTCTGTGATTCCCCTCATTTTTTAATACCACAATTTCAAATAATGAGATTTAGCTATATTGGTCTCATGTATGTTATGGGATCAAGTCATATTCATCAGAATATAAGCAATTTATTATAATAAAGTATTTTGCAGAATAAAATAATGCATGATTTTACAGATTAAATAAGAAAATGTAAGTACTCAGAACACCTTGGCTGCACTCAAGTAGTTTGAAATGGGACATCAGCAATTTAGAGGTGCAACTTTGTGTGTACACGCTTCTGCACTAGCAAATGACCTGTGCAACTGTACTAACACAAAAGTGCATCTGCCAAATTGTTTCCCTAGGTAAAATAGTCAAGCACTTGTACCAACACCAACACATAGGAGTGGGAACTACAAATGCAGTCAGGGCAGCACAAGGTTCTTATTTTAAGCTGGGTTGGCCATAAGTGTTCATTAGTCTCAGACGATGTTTTTCCACAAACATCACTGCACCTATCGGGGGTGGGGGAGCGGGGTGGTGGTGGAATCTAACAAAAACTTATGGAGACACAGATTTCATGCATAATGTTTATTAGCAAATGGAGTCAGGCCTATAGGTTAGCCTCATCTCAACTGACATCAAAACCAAGGACCAACTGGATTTTTATCTCCAGTTAAATTCCACTTACACTAAAACCAGACCATTTTACTACTGCAGACAGCACACAACCTGTAGGCTTTATGTGTGTTTTCTATTAGTCTCCAGCCATTGCTACCACTGATGCAGCTCCGTCACTGCTAACAACACTCAAGAACAGTTGCAAACTTGAATGAAAAGAATGCTTTTCAGTATAGTACAGGAGAGGTAAATATGTCTGAAAACACACAATCTCATCAATTTTCTTGAACCGTCCACAACCTTACAGGAGCTTCAATAAAACAATAATGTTAAACTAGCTTAGTTTGCGTGAACCTTGTCAATTGTATGTTTGCACAATGGAAGCAGTGATCTGGAGGCACTGAGAAAATGAAGGAACCAATTAATTTTTGGAAAGTGTTATAAAACATGTGACTGAAAAAAATCGGTTGAAGGTTGGGTTATTGGAGAAAACAGAAGTCCAACAGAGAAGCATAATTTCCTTCAGTGTACTCACCAGCTATTTGTGATATTACACTTGGAAAAAGGAATTGGCAGGATGGAAAAAAAAGGTATGGTATCAAAATAAATACAGAGAGTTATATTCTTCACAAAGCTATACAGAGTGTGGTTTGGTATCAGATAATAGATTAAGCTACAGACAGCGTATAAGAAATGAGAGTGGGAAAACAGGCACGGTTCCCATTGGAAACTATGGCATCAGACCCAGTAAATTCAATGAGAAGAGCACAAAGCTCACAAAGCCACAAGATATATGGAAAATGTGCACACAGTTTGCAAAACAGCAGGCTTTGTAAAAGTCAGTGACTGTTGCTGACTGTGACTAAGCCACACACACTACCAGGCCAAAGGGTTCTTCCCCAAAAGCAACACAAACCAGCACACACGCAAGAGGGGCAGAGCCAGGAAGGCTCAGCTTACCCTGACAGCAGCTTTCCCCGGCGCTTACACCCTGCTTTAACATGCAGCTGTAACCCAATCTGAGTGCTACAGTATCACATACAGTCAAGCAGAAAAGGATGCAGAGAGATTTAATAAAAAGGCAGCAGCCTAAATATCCAAGCAAGCAATAGCACAGAAGACAGCTGAGACTGGTAGCACTGACTAGTTCACATTAATATTGTATCACATTTTAAATGGCAGTTTTTAGCAGTAGTTTGGGACTACGTTTTTTTCCCTTAAAGCATGGCCTTACATGCAAGTACACAGAGAAGCAGCAAATCATCACCAGATTATTGCCAGATTTCTCCCTAGGATCTAGAAACAAGCCCAAGATTTAGTAGTGCCTAACTGCATCTGTGGTTAAGTTTTGCTCTCACCCTCCCTCCTCCAGGGACCTACCACCAGTGAGATGGCCACGTGCAGTGGCTAGTGCCGCCTTGGTCTGGGCAACAAAACAGGGAGTGCTGTTTCTACGGGGCACCGCCCACCCCCAAGTTCTTGCTCTTCCAAGCATGAGTGAGGACTACAGTCTAACCTGAATTTATCCACTTCAGTCACTTCCAACTGGTACTATAACCATGTCCAGCTAAGAGTCAACTGGTTTTTATATGGTTTTGAAATTAAACACACACACACAAAATCTTTCTGTCATAAATCATCTGAAAAACTCCACATCATAGCAGTTGTGAAAGTAACTCTTTGTATTTCTCCAGGCTGCCTATTTCCTAAAGGTCAGGGATATATACTTAAAAATTACAATGCATTTCAATTGCCTACATTGCAAACACTAATGATTTGTTCTTATTGCATATTTGTCGAGAATTTAACCTTTATTTTAGCTAGAGCTTTCTACCATCCACATAAAAATGCAGTACTCTAATCTGAAGACAATTTACATCTGAGCTAGTTACCTGGTGTCCACCTTAACTTGAACCGGCTTTGCAGGGAGGACTCGGACTAACTCACTCAACTACTAATTGTCCTCCGTTGCCCTTCACGGAACGTCAAAGCCAGGAGAACAAGGGCCAGTGGAGATGCTCCACACCCCCATGTGAGCACTAGCCACAGACAGGACTCGGTAACTCAGAGCTCCCCTGTGGCATGGTCAGGTCTGGGTGAACACAGAGGCTCAGAGCTTGCGGTCCATTCCCAGGCCCAGCCGTGCAGTTCGGATGTCAGCAAATAGCAACTTGGCTTCTCTTAGGTTTTCTCAGTGAAAGATGTGATCTAACTGTACAACAAATAAGCAAATAGAAGTTTTTGTGTCAGCACTAACAATGCCTAAGCAGCTAAAAAAAAGATGAGCTTGGCAGATTAGGAAAAGTACAAAAAAACCCAAAACCGTATCAACAGCCTGCTAAAAGCCACAGAAGTGGAAACACTAGTGCTGAACCACCCGGCTGCCAGGCCTCCTCCAGGCTCTCCCTGAGCTTCAAACCCAGCACCTGACGTTGCACAGGGAATGGAGGCTGGGCTGGTGAAGCTGGAATTAAAGGCGTGTACTGCATTGCTGTCAGCTGTTATTATTCATTTGGTTGCTGTTTTAGGCTCAAAATCAGATCTGCTTTGCACTGACAAGAATAATATTTATGAGTCATACGATGACCCTGTGAGCTAGGAGCCTACTGTTTGTGAGCCGTACTGCTTCAGGAGCGCATATCCAGTCACCACCTGGCTACAGACTAGGCAGCACTGTCCTCTCCACCTCAACAACTTTAGTATCTTCAGCATCAAAACAATCAAGACTCTAAAGAACCTAAAAAATTAATTCTACTCTCACTTTGTACATCTCCCTTAATGCCCACTCATTAACAGATTAAGACAATTGCTACATTAATACCAAGAGAGGGGATGTAAAATACTTTCTATGTACTAAATACCGTCTGTATTTTCTGTACTGCTTTGGGTATGATACGGTTAAAGCATGCTATCGCTTTGTTTGGAACGAATTATAAATATTGATGAGACATTTATTTACAGAACATTCTTTTTTGTTGCCCTCCACCTTGTGTTACAATAGCAACTGCGGGTTTCTTGTATTTGCCTTTATTATTGTTTATACATTTTTACATTATCCTAAGCAACACATATTTGATGTGGCTATAAAAAGATTGAGTCATGCTGTGTCACAACAGGGTTTTCTTTTAACTGGAAAAAAAAGCTAATATTTTTGTATTTCAAGCTGTTTAAAAATAGTACGTCTAAGAATAAAGCACTAAAAACAAGGGATCAGAAGAGACTGCATATTCTGCCTCTGAGAAAGAGCCTTGTTTCTCTCTCCATCAGAACTCTGTCTAAACTACAACCACCTACGTGCCATAAATAATCATTCCTCATTTCCACAAAGGGAAAAATTGCCATCCTGAATCTCTGACAGCTTTCCTCAGTAGCAAACATCAATCCTCCATCACGGAGCAGAAGGGACTCAGCCTCCACGAGGGAGTAACGAG